CTTACACATATAAAGAAAACTTTTTTCTTTTTGACGTATAAAGAAAACTAAAATGTGTTTATGAATTTTATAATTGAAACAATTAGTAAAAATCAACTATAGTAATAAAATGTAAAGAAAAAAACAAATATTTTCTATATTATTTTTAAAAGTTATATATTCTATGAAATACGAAAGGTTTCTTCTTATTAAAAAGTTTGTAGTTCAATAAAAACAAAATCTCACATTCAATCACACGTTAGGAAGACCAACATTTAAGAAATATTATCCTAAAATCTCAATTATTTTTTTACGATGAACAAAAACCAAAATATACATAAGCTTACGAGACTAAGATAACTGAAAAAATGCATAAAACTATTTATATCCATTAAAAAGCAATTTCAATAAGATTTACGAGTTTCTTCAACTCTGGCTAGCAAAAACCTAAATCAAACTTGAAGAAGAAAATTTACACCTTTCTCATTCCGCAATTGAAAAGACTGTAAACAACAAGCAAACAAGATGTTGTTCAGTATCATCCATATACCACAACTAGGGCACAACCCGCGCTCTACGCGGGATAGTAAATTTTAAAACATTGATATAAGTAATCAATTATTTAGAAATAAAAATTTGATTTAAAATTTTAATTTGTAACAAATTAATGGGTACTAAACCCTAAAATGGGAGGATAAACCCTCACAAATTTGCGTAAACATTGAAAAACAGTACTTATACCTTAAACCCTAAACTCTATTATCGAAGCCTAAATCCTAATACAAACATGTAAAGTTTGATCTTTTTAAGTAAGCCTATGCCATCAATTTTTTTGATTAAGGTTGTTAAACCATAGCATGAATGGCTTAATCTTGAGCACACACATAATAATTGAAAGAAACAATAAGATTTTCAAGCATTATGTCATTTCATGGGAAACTTGATCGATGAACTTCCAATTGATTTGTTTTTGTTTTTGTCTCTACATAAAGTGAAAGACATGAGTTTATTGTTCTAATTTGAACAATAAGATTTTCTTTTAAAAAAAAAACTAATATGTTTTGTCTTTTTTTTTTGGTGAAGCATCTCGTTTTTTTTTCTCTTTGGCGCTAACTGTTTGGATCAAATTTTATATCCTATGTATGCAGTCGTAAATGCTTTGCATAAAATTTTGGAATGTCCTACATGAATATTTTAGAGCTCTAGGTAGGAGTTCCATCCTTTTGGAGTAAGACGTGTCGTCTCTAGTGAGAAAGCCATAATGCATAAGACATTGTATAAGTAATATCGCGAGAAAAGTCTTCATGAGGATGGTTATTGGGTTCAATTAGCAACACATACTCTAATTATCATGGAAAATCTGCAAATTCGGAATTGATATCAATAATCCAAGAAAAGAACATCATTTGTATAATAATTTTTATAATTAGATCTAGATTGACATAATTAGTCTTACTACACTCTCACTCATATATACAATATTGACATAAACACATAATTTGATAATTATACAATGAAGTCCGATATTTCTTGATACCCGTATACTAATTCTTTGTCAAAATGCGTAGATGTTGATATAATGTAATCAAATTATGATATAAATTTTATAACATTGATAAAAGTTTTATTTAGAAATTAAGATTTGATTTTTATTATATATTTTTAATAAATTAATGAGTACTAAACCCTAATATGTTTCCGCAAACCCTTAGAAATGTATGTAAAATATTAAAAATAATTTTTATATTTTGAAAAAATTAAATATAACTAAACCCTAATATCTGAATTAGTCCTTCACAAATGCACGTAAAATATTAAAAACAATACATATATTCTAAACTCTAGAATCCTAGCATCATAGCCTAAATTCAAATACAAAATTTTATCTAAAGTTTAGATATATTGTCTCAGTTATTGTCAGTTTGATTTGGTTTGTCGGTTCTTTGATTTGTTCGGGTTAAAAATAGTATATTGAAACTTATTGAAACTAACCGAATAAAACTATGGTTTGGATTGGTTATGGCAAAGTTCTGTTCATTCGTAAAGTTTCTGAATAAATTGAAATGTGATTAGTCCGGTTACTTTCAATTAGTTCAAATGGATTAAAAAATGTAAATGGGATGCATAATTAGATTTTAGGATTCTTTTCAAAAACCTACCGATAATCGCTTAGTGAAAGAATTTTAGTAAAATATATGAAGAAAACATGGAGTCAGACTAAATTACTAATCGATGTTTTTTTTCAAAATCTCCTTGCGCGGAGAAATTTTTTAATTAATGTTTTTTGTTTCAAAATTGTTGGTCATTAGAAAATTTTGACTGTTCTAGGCTAAACCCTAACATGGACGTCTAAATCCTAACCATGCACATAATCAAATCATCGTGGTCTATCTACAATAAAATTTTCACATTTTGTCATTTCATAAAACAATTTGATAGAAAAGTTTCCACTTCTTCTTTTTTTTTTTGTCAATACATAAAGTATTTGAAATATATGAATTTTCTTTTTGGTCAAGAAAGGCATGTGTTTACTGCTCAAATTTAAACAATAATAAAAGATTTAAGAAAATTAATATGATTTTTCTATTTTCTCGATGGAACACCTTCTCTTGGAGTGTAAAATTGTTCTTATGTGTGAAGAGTTTTAACAAATTTGGCATTATTTACAGGGATTATGTAATATGGTTTGAAGTAGAACAATATGCCGTGTTTTACTTTAACCAAGAAATTCTAAAATTGTTCAAATACTTAAGACATTGCTTGCCGTGTTTTACTTTAACCAAGAAATTCTAAAATTGTTCAAATACTTAAGACATTGCTTGCTCA